ATGAAACGGAGCCAATATGCGGCGTCAGTCACGGTCAGAATCACAGCGGGTGTTACACCACTCCACCACAATCCGTTACACGAAAATATGGCAATTTGACAAAATATATGGAAACATTTTCCTATGCACTAAGCACTCCAATAGGAGCCACTTTTTCAATTTTGAGTCACATAAAAATCGCGCCTCAAAAAACAAGCGCATTGAGTGAGATTGGTGAGGAGGGGGGAGGGAGCTTCTCTATTCATCATAATTAGGTCTCTTTCTCCGATTCATCACTTTATTTGTACAAGCTTCTATTTAGACAAATATGTGTATGTGGTGTAGGTAGGTTCCGATAAGGGCAAAGAAGATTTTGGACTCTCTTCCTTCCTTCCTCTAATCAACTTCATCATCCGTGTTTATTGTACTTAGTGGGTTCTTGTATTGTTTCTCAAAGGGTGTTTTCCCCCTCTCCATGGGGCCCTAGCAAGGTGGATTTAAAGGGAGGACGCAGTTTACGATGATCCATTCCATTCCATCCAATTCCTTCTCCTGGCCTTCGGCTAATCATCATATGTAGTTTCCTTCGGCCTTGTTCTGTTGGTGGGGACACCCCTCGGTTTTTTTGAGGGGTGGCTTTTTTGGTGTCCCGGCCATTCCCCCGAAAAAGAGAACTTCTTCCCTCTCATCTACATAAACCCTTTTCGTATTCCACTTTTTTTTCACGCACTCTTTTCAACATAACCTGTCACCTATTTGCATTCGAACAAAAAATGGCGGCTTCTCTGTCCAACGGACCCCTCTTGATGAATCAGAAGACCGATGATATCATTCTAGTGTAATGTGTGCAACTTTTTGCAGGGGGAGAAGAAGAAGTAGCCTTCTGTTTCAAAAATGAAACTATGAATCTAGGTTTCCAGTTTAATCCCATCTTCAACATCTTTTTTTGTTGTAATCCCAATCCCATGAATCCCATAAAAAATATAGTACATCATCACATGTAGGTGTGTCTATCGACACCTCTCTGAATCTAGTTTTTTGGTGGCACCCGGTTCGGAGTACGAGTACTGCTGCTTTCTCTCGAAACGGTATGATATTATTATGAAATTTTCGTTTCCTGTACACACCTAGTATGATGATATTGGCAGAAAAGTAGGTCACAAGGGTTTTGGAGCGCTGCCAGCAGACCCAAAAAAAACGGTTCGGTTTGTTCAAAAGTTTTGAAATAGTCTTACTCAGGCTGCCACGTGGCACTCAGTTGATCCGTTTTTTGAAATAGGATATGAGATAGCTGTCACAGCCATGGTCACACTAGAGGGACAGGTGGCTGTTGATCTATGGGCTTGAAACTATCTTGTCTAGCTGGAAATGAGTGTCTAGGTCAGATCCTAGGTTACATTTATCTTTAACTTCCTTAGTTGCCATAACCTATCCCTCATAAGATGTTGATCAATCTCTTTGGGAACGCTCCCTCACTTTCAGCCTATAACAATTAATTTAGACCGGGCCTTTGCCGGGCCTTCGCAGGCCTTGCCGTAGATTCGTTTAGAATTAATATTATTGGAAAAAACTACATTCGATGTGATAGAACTTGAATAGTAATATAAAATGGTACTATTTGGATTACTGTATATTGTCTATGAACAAAGTTACAAGCCAAAAACTGTCTGAGCTACGCGTTCAGAGCTTCATGACCTTGTAACTTTGGTCATAGACAAGATACAGTATTCCAAATAGTATATATTTTTGGTACTCGTCAAGTTCTATCATATTTAATTTAGTAGGTTCAAAATTATTGACTCTGATGGAAACGATAGGACGAACATCGTCGCTAACGATCAATCCGTGCCAACGCTCCAACTCGCCCACCTTAAAACCCATAAAGTTATTGTCGATGATCATTTTTTCGCAACTTTCTGCTAACTCTCTTCCGGAATCATCTTCCATCTCTGGTCATCGAATCATTTTATCACAAGGGCTTTTCCCGTTTTTTTGCTTACTTCCCAGTTGTTTTCTTGTGCTTCTCCTACCCTTCAATTCTTCTATTTTACCATCTGATTCCACCCCACCTTCCGAACACACCAGAAATCAAATAAACATGATGCATCCTCATAGTTTTTTCCTCTTTTTGATCTATCTATCTCTGTCCATCATCCATCAATTTAAAATATCCGTTTCAAATGTTTCACGTGAGGTTTGCTGTTCCAGCGGTTTCAGTTCTCCTCCTGGCTATGTGCCAACATGTGGTACCCGGGTGACAGAGATAGAGAGATCTAGACGAGAAATCATCGAAAAGTGAGAATAAAAGAGATGCTGAGATGATGATGAAAAGAAGAAGGAGGATGGGGAAGATGAGTGAGAGAATGCCAGGTGGTTGTAATGACAATTTCAATCCTCATTTCACATTTGTGTGTGGTGCCCGATAGGCGACGTCCCATCAGAAGTTCAGGCGGAACAAGAAAAAAAGATGGATGGAAGCGGACCAGCAGAAGAAAAAAAGTTGGTCCGATGATCCTGGGACATTGGTACTTTAGTATGAGCTTCTGGTCAGAGGGTGTTGGACTTTTGATATCGGTGATCATTTTTCTAGCTACCGTGGAACCTCTAATAGAAGGGCCCTTCCTAACTATTAACTTTGAACCAATTTATCTCGGTTCCTGTCAAAGTTATAAAAACGTTGTTTACTAACAAAATGTTTATCATAATGTCAAAAATCTTTTATCAGTTGATCAAACTTTGATATCTTTGACTGGAACCGAGATAATCTAGCTCGAACGTTACAGTATGAGTGCCCTTCTATTACAGGTTTCACTGTAACACCTCAAACCTCAACCTACAAATACCATCCAACAACATTCGCTTAAGGATCAGCTGACCCCAAAAGTTCGTCTCTTTCAGTTTTTTTTTTGTGCAATTCCTTTACTCTTTTTTTTACCTTCTACCTTTATTTGTTCTGCTCGACCCCGAAGAGCCCTGGCAGTCAAAGTCAGTCAAAAAAAAGTCAAAAAAAAAAATAGTATGGACAGAATTCTTTTTTTCGACAGTCTTGTTTATTTTTTGTGTGCCATTCCGCAACTCCTCCTACCACTCTCTCTCTCAATATATCGTTCGACCGTTCCCCCCGTCGTCCCAGACAGACTTGTTTGTTTCGGCGCTGTCTGAAAATAGAAGAGGGTTACTGTACCTCCATTTGAGAGAGAGACTACTGTGCCTCCTCGTACACATTTTGCTCTTTGGTCGGGTAGTATGCAAAAGCTTTACTAAAGAAATTGAGGACAGGTGAGTGCATTCATTGCATTCTCTCGCACGTTGTAACTTTAGGATGATGGGGGTCCGAGTGTCCCCTCCAATCTCTTTATATACATTCAGACACCAGTTTGGACCCTTCCCGTTTTTATCGCTTTTTCCATTGGGTCACATCGCGCATATGTAGTTCTTGCGTCATCAAGGGTCACTTTCAATTGGCTCTCTTAGAAAGAATATACATTATTAATTAATAACCAATCCTACTTTTTTCTTTCGTTAAGTGTGTTGAGATTCTAGGGTGCTCTGAAGCAACCAAGCCACTCGAGTAGTTTCCAGAAGCAAATAAACAATATCCTCGATCCTTATTTTTGCTGATTTCTTTGACTCTAATTGTTTTTCTACTACGTTTACTGATCGTCTTTTGAATCTCACATTGGGCCTCCTTGGCTCACGTTCAACTTTGAGCTTATTTATCTCGGTTCCTGTAAAAGGTATCAAATTGTGGTCAACTTACTGAATATTATTGATATTATGATAAAAATTTTGTCAGTTGATAACTTTTTGATATCTTTTACAGGAACCGAGATATATGGGCTCGAAGTTTAGAGAGTGAGAAGATCGGTGGTTCGAAACCCCTGGCTAATTTCCTGGCCACATTCCCAAGTTGGGGGAATCCCAACTATATTATATCTGTGACAATTAGTCTCAAGTGGTCTATGAGAATATGAATGCCGATGAGGACACCACCCCCCGCCGCTAATCCGCTAGTTCTACACAGTTCAGCCATTCATCATCGGCAACTACAAAGTGTGAGGAAGGTCCACCGGAAGACAGACCCAAATAGGCATATATGTGCACAGTATTAATTGTATTGTGCAATCACTTTTTTCTAGTACATAAAGAGCAACGTTTTAAAATCCATATCACTTGTTTGTCTTCCTCAGAAAATGACGAATCGAACACTTCTAGGTTATTGACCTTTCTCAGACAGTTTTTTTGCCCAGATGTTTATTCGTTTCTTGACTCTCGAGAATTCCGAATCGGTGATTCACAAATTTATGTTTGGGTGGTGATGGTATTCTGAATTCTGTATACAACAAAACAAACGACATCTCCGCCTGTCAATTGCCCGATTTCGATACGATTTCACACCTCTCATCATCATCATCATCAGTAGGGTGGCCTGCAAAAAGCGGGCGGCGGGCGTGCGATCGGTTTAATCGGTGTGTCGAGAAGAGATATCATCAGATCATCAGGTGCATATCTATCTATTATATCCGTCCAGACACTTTCATTTCTTCTTCCTTTTCCGCGCGCGCGCCACCGCGCTGGCGGCATGTCGATCTTGATAATCGCCTTGTTGCGGAAGAGAAGGTGTTGCAATATCGTCAGGTTCCTTTAAAGAATAATATTTTCTTAACGCGAGAGATGTTGTCAGAGATTTGAAAGTTAGATGTCTGAGTGTCTGAACTTATGAAGTGAAACTGGTTGTGAGAGAGAAGACTACTGTACTTTGAGTACGGTAGCACTGATGATGATAGGGAGTAGGGTGAAATTCACATGGTTACATTATGATCAAATTGTAAGATTTCCTATAGAATCAGGTCAAAACCTAGAGGTACTGTATTTTTCACGTCAGAAGGATTCTACAATTGAAGTCTGAAGACCCTATAAGTCCCATATACAGTACCTGCCGATAAGATATACAAAAACGTATTTTTCAGTAGTATTTTGGCATTTTCAGAAGTCCGGAGCTCGGCTGTCAAGTTTCCAATCACTTTGAAAATTCTGGAGGGTGTAAAACAGACATAGATTGAAAACTTTAGATTCAGAGAATTTCTGAAAATTTCTAGTTTTTCAGCTATTTGACGATTTCTGATAGATACCCCTTTTCGGCCCGTTTAGGAACTGAAAGCGTGAAAAGAGGCAGGTACCAGTCCGAAATCGGCAAGAAGCTGAAAAACTAGGAATTTCCCAAAATGTCTATGAATGCAACGTTTTTGATCTAAGTCTGTTTTACACCCTCCAAAGTTTTCAAAGTTTTGATCGGACAGAGCTCCAGGCACCTGAAAATGCCTAAAATCGCCTAAAAAAAAATTTGGTACATCTTATTGACCAGTACTGTATACTCAATATCTAGATGTACTGTAGTCCTAAGCTTCCTTCTTTTTGATTAGACATGAATTACCCAATTTCCTTTTCCCGTCAGACATGACCTGATCCAGAAGACGCAAATTTTGTTTAACCTTTTTGCGCAACACTTCCACCTTTTTCTGTCTTCTTGTGTCTTTTTTCCCGGATTAATGTTTGTACAGATACACATAGAGAGAAGAAAAAAATAGAAGACACCTTTTATTTCTTATCCATACATGCATATATACACACAAATACATTCAGCACGCTCGGGCAAAAGATACGCATCTGTGTCTCGGTCGCGTTTCTAACCGCGTCCATACATACACGTACAGATACAAATACAGAAGACAACAGGCGCGACTAAAAAGGGGCAAAAATGGCCGAGGTCTGTCTTCGGTGCCCCCTAGAAGGCTAGGGTCGGACGATGATGCCGAAGAAGAAAAAGAAGACGTGCCCACCCAGTGCGTGTTTTATTTCTGTTTCACCTATCAAAATCATATTTATCTTCATTTCCATTGTCACCTGCCGCCCCCGCTGCGCGCATCTTGCCTTTATGTCCTTCATGTCCCAATCACTTTCGCTTATATCGCCATGGCACCATGCCAAAACTTACTATCAAATTATTGAGGAGGGGCGGAGCATAGTTATAGGCTCTTATCAAGAGTCCGTGCACACCGTCTTTAACTTTCTCCCGCGCCAAATTGGCAACATTTACAATCGCTTATCGTTTTGCACACACATGCACACAGAAGACCATAAAAGTTATCATCAATTAGTGGTGATCAAAAGAGCAACATAGTGTGCTCGGAGAAGAGACGCAGACGATATGTGCTATGAAGTCAATGTTTGAATTAGGAATGGAGAGAGTGTGGGCTACGGTGGTCCCACTGATAAAAATGCGCAAGATTGATGTGTTTGATTTGTAGTAATATAACATTTAGAGTGTCTAGACAGTTTTTACTGATTATGATCTTGTGAACTTGGGTTTGTGGTCCCAATTGGTGAAAGGGTGTCTGGAGAGGGTATCTGGGAACATTGTTCTCAGATTCTAGTGGAGTTACAGTAACCCCAGCTCATAGAAGTCCAAGCCTAGCTTCCATTAGAAGGGGTTTTCTAGATCCAAGAAATTAATAATTCCATTTGCTAATCTTGCAATAAAAATTCTGAAAATTCTGAATTTCTGAGACGCTAAAGTCCCCGAGTTTGTTTCAGAAGACATCCAGTTCCGATCCATACATCGATTTAAAAAACCCACCCAAAAAAATGTTGATCCTATTAGCTAAGCTGTCTGACCTTAAATGTGGTTGTTGTACACCCCCCCCCCCCCCAAGTTCCCTAATTCTTTTTCAAGAACCAAGATCTACAGTAACCCTCATTCCACATATTTCATCACTTCAAGCCAATCTCTCTGAAATAGGCTCCGCCCACTACATACGGATCCCTATCTTTATTACCCTTCTTCCCCTTCGTTTTCGCGCACTTCACACACACACACACCACCCGTCGAAATAGACACAAAGGGTGATTTGATGGCGCGACACCTCGATTTGATTTTTTTTCGGTGAAGCCAGCCGGCGGATACCATGTGACCCGTGTACGTCTCCTAGTTGGCATAGTTCCAAATGATGTTCAACTCCTTCATTTTTTTTTCGCTCTCTCTCTTCTTCCCGCTAAAGGCCACCTTACCGTTTTGTTTCGGAGCGCCGCGCCTCCTCCTCCTTATTCCACTCTCTTATTTCGTCGACGTCTTCACTTTTTTGAAGGCCGAATTCTTCGGCTGCTGCCCTGGGGGTGGGCATAAGGAGAGACCGCCACCATCGGTGACGATGATGATGAAAAAAAGGAGAAGACTTTTTCTCGTTTGTCTCAATTTTTCAATGAGTACCTTGTTGGGAGAGAAACAGAGAAGAACGATTCTGATCTAGTAGTACCGTTCTTTTCCGAGTAGATTCATGGTTACGACGCAAGACAGGTAGTATTAAAATTCGAAAATTCAAATTTCCATCGCGTCGCGCTTCCCTTATCACTGTTTCCAACCAATACTGTATCCAACCAACTGCTGACCAAATGTTGCCTACATTTGACGCCTCAAAGTCGCGAAAGTTCAACTGTTCTTTCCTGTTCAAACAAGCTCCGCCCACTCCACCATTTTACTAGCTCTTTTGCTCTTTTTTTCGCTCTGTCTGTTTCATTTTGGCAATTCATATTTTATGTATGACAAAATATATTCCTGGTCGTCCCCATTTTCTTGTTCATTCTGCTTTGGTCTATCCACTCATTTCCTGGAAACAACATGCTCATCCTTCCCATAGAAAAGAGCTCGAAACTCATTTAGTCCTTTCTCTCTTTGGCTTCATGCCAAAAACGACGACCCCGAAACATTTCGGGTTCGTCGTTTCTCTAATCCTCTTCCTCTTCCGCGCCCTCTATCATTTATCCAATGGTCAAAAGAAAAGAAAAAAGAAAGAAAGAAGAAAAAGAAATGGCGACCAGCTGAAAAGCATCGGGAGCAGCAAAAAAAGAAAGAGAAATGAGCACCACCGGCTTCTTCTGTGCCCCAGACATGTCTGGTGAAATAATGCCAATTTAAAGAGGGGAGAGAAAAGGGAGAAGGTCCCCCCGTTTTTTGCAACATTCCGTTTTTTTCCTTTTTTGACGCGTTTACTAACCCAAATGGTCAATTGGTTAGTGGTTAGTGATTAAGCTACTGTCCAAAACACTTTTATTCTATTGGTCCAAAGTTTTTTAAAGCACATGTCGGTTGCTGAAGAGCTCAAACTCAAAATGACTTTCAAGTTTTTGCCATGTTTGTGTTCCTCAAATCCACTATTCCTTTTATCTTGAAAATCCTGAATCACCAAGCTTATTTTAATATTACCTATGGTATGGTCCTTATCCCACACTGTTTGCCTTTTTCAGCTTTCTTAAACTTGTAATAGAAAGGCCCCTGACTTTTATCCTTGAGCCAGTTTATCTCGGTTCTTGTCAAAGATATCAAGAATCGGTCAACTGATAACTTGCTTATCATAATATCACAAACATTTCTTCTGTTGACAAATTTTTAATATCTTTCACAGGAATTGAGATATACTGGCTTAAGCTTGGCGATCTTCGAATGTCTTCCTAAAATAAAACTACTCTAAAAGCAGGGTCCCCAAGTTTGAGTTCAATTATCTCAATTTTTATGCAAGTTATCAAAAAGTTGTCAATTGATAAATTGTTTATCATAATATCACAACCATTTCATTAGTTGACAAATTTTTGATATCTTTCACAGGAACCGAGATAATAGAGCTCAAATTTGAGGGTTCTTCTATTACAGGTTTTCCAGCTATTTATATTCTCAGACAATCTAGATGAAATTTGATCTTATTCATGACAGCTCTAGGAACAATATTCCAGAAAGCCATGATCTGAAAATCGAAGTGTGTTTTCTACTACTACGACTACTTTTTGTGGTAGTTGTTTTTATTTTCATTTTTTTCGTCTCTTATCCCACAGCCCATGTGCTCCTCTTATGTGTGCTCTGGTTCCAATTTTGTGTAACCCGACACCCGACGCCACAACCATCAAAGCATCAATCCATCCTAGACGTGTTGTGTTCTTTAGTAGTGCCCCTCCCTCTTCAAAATTCTCACAGACAACGACACCTCGTAAATTATCATTTGCCTCTATTCATCCAAGGACTCAAACCATTCCTCGCCAGACTACCTAAACCGCCAACACGGTAAAATGGAAATTTATTGGTCTCCTTTTCTTTCAAAAAGAAAGAGAAGAAGACCTCCTATCCAGGCCCATTAGTTTCGTCTTCTTTTGAATGTTGCATTTTCATTTTTCTTCATGGGAGGTGCTGCCAGACACTCCTAGAAGATTCGCCCCGCGCGGTAAAATGACCCCTGAAATTGGCTTTCCTAGGGAACAAAAAGAAAAGAAACTGAAGAAAAAAAATCCGCGAAAAAAAGAGAGGAAGAAAATAGCAAATAAATCTTTTAACTGTCGCATTTAACTCACTGGGTGGGCTGAATGGCACTAAAGGGCTGTTAGAGGGAAGAAAAAAAACAACATTAGGAATCTGGAACTTATTTTCTGAAAGTTAGAGATTACGGTAGGCTTATTTTTAAATCACACTTTTGGAAATCTGCGTCATCAGAAATTCAAATATCTGACGCTTAATCTAGAAATCAACTAAAAACATGTTCATCAAAATATCAAAATTATTTTATCAGTTAGCCACTTTTTGATATCTTTCTCAGGACATGTGAGCTCACAGTTGGCGGTTTGGCTGTCTTTCTATTAGAGTGTTTAGGGTAGGTTTCAGTCTAGATCTTCCTCTCGAAATCCCATTTTCCTAGATCACTATTTAGCATAATCACATTCTCTGAGCCAATTTGAGAACGCTTCAGTATATTTCTACATAAAGTATTGCTCACTGCATACATCTCATCAATCCTTCGCTTATCCCAGGATCATCTCAAAACGCTTCTCCCCCTCCCACAAGCCAATTCACCAAAATGATTTCCAATTTTCTATCCCCTCCCCCCATTTTCCCAGAAAAAAAACTAATTTTTGGAGCTACTCGTTTTTTTTTGTTTGAGCAGCTTTGCAGACTGATGGGGGAGACGAGCACAGAGAGCACTCAGACAAATTACGATTCTATATCTGCAATCTTACACTTTGCTGTAATGTCTGTCACTCTACCTTTGTCACAATATCAACACTATAGGAGACAGTACACCACAACATCACCACAACATCAGACAGGAGCATGCTCTTATATTTTGCATAGACTTGATCTTTTGACCTGCCTCCTCCAAAGAACTCAAAACTCATAGCTATCGAACTCACCTTTACCGGTTTCTCCGCCCACCCCGTATCGGTAACGCTGCAAAGAGGGGTAGGTGGGGCGGCGTTTCATGGCTCCGCCCCTTCTTCACAGCCCCCACCCTGACACCCCACCAGGGGGACACACTTCTGAAGAACGCGTGTTGCGACGTGAGGGTGCAGCAAGTGGGCGGAGCCAGGACCACAAGTGCCCCCTATCTCACCTCTGTCTGCTCCTGATTTTTTTCCGCTATCCTATCATCTCCTATCATCTCGTATCTCTTGCCAGTTTCGTTTTACAAATTTCCCCTCAAAAATCAGTCGGGACCTCGGAAGTCGGGGTACGGAGACTGGGGCCAAAAGGCCAGTTGCTCTTTTTTTTGTTTCAAAATTTTGCTCCTTTTCGCTCTCTCTCTCTATCGCTACTAATTTCCAGTCATTAACTGATTACGGGGGTGCCTACCGAATTTTTTTCTACAATCTCCGATTTTTGTCGCAATGCCCTTCTTATTTGTTCTTCTTTTGCGCCACCATCACCCTCCCCAAAAAAACTTTTTTCTTCGTTTTTTTTCGTGTTGCTTCTTTGCTGCTTCCATCCTTCGCTCTGTCCGTTTTTTCCTCGTTCGGCGCGGTTTTGTGTTGGTCTCCCACCAGCCTAAATACACCTTAACTTCTTTATACCCTAAACTTTTTTGTTGAAAGAAGAAGAAGAAGTTCATTAGTCATAGTCAGCTGGGACTTCTTTGGTGACCCTTTCCTTTCCCGTCGACCTACCCAGCTGGAACTGATCCCACTCTTGTTTCGTTGTATTCAAACTTTCCATTATATACTTTCCACGCTACCTGTATTCTGTATTCTGTACACTGATCGTAATTCGATCTTGAAACTTTTTCACAAAAATTGCAAAACGTTTTTCTAGACACTCCTATCTTATCAGTTTTCTCGGAAATATCATGACCTCATTTTTAACTTTTCCAGACCCGTCGTTGATGATGCGTCTTACCCACAACACATCGTACATATCGTTGTCAGCACTGGAGAACCAGCCTTCTGGATCATCGGCTGTGATCTATCCACCATTGAGATCCCAACTAAGGCCTGAGGCTCCACCACTGGAAGAACAACTTCAGAATGTCAGTGTCAGCGATTACAACGATTACAACGACTTCGCTAGTCTTGGCATCACAGCGGTGAACAGCAATCCGTGGTATCCCATAGGTACTAAAACGCAGTCAATGTCGTTCAGCACGGCGTCGACGAACGGATTCACAGGCTCAGACACCTCATCGGCACCGATGTCACCTATCTCGTCACCTGGACTGAAGAAGAATGGACTTCATGTTAATAATAATGGATATCATCAGCAGACGACGCAGAAGACATTCTATAAAAATCCAGGTACGGAATCATTTCTTATTCATGACCTAGAACTAGCCCTAGTGAACAAACCACTGGGCCTGATGTCAATCCTGACAAGCCAATTGAAAATTGAATCTTCTTCATTTATTTGATCCTCTGTTCTTTTTCAAAAGATCCTCCGATCTTCTCTCTCCTCAAAATCTGATAAGAATCCACATCGTGGTCCCGCTGGAAGAATTAATAGGTCACTTGCACTTTTTCATTATATGTGTGTGCTCTGAGCTCTCCCGTACAATTTTGCATCACTCGCCTGCTCCCGTAGAGCCTCCCGCGAAAAAAATTGCAAGAGATAGTGCTAGACGCAGTGAGCCATAGCCCGAAAGTGTTGCGGTTTTTGTGTACAAACAATCGTCTTTCGAGCCCGTCTCCCCCCTCCCGAACGACAAACTGACAAAAAGCTATTATCAAGAGGGGAACGGTTCCCAATTTTTTTTGAATGAAAAAAATTCAATTTTTCAGCACATCCTAACAACTTCCGGAATAATAATCGTGTCAATGGGACAGGAGGGCAACAGCACCATGGATTCCAGCCGCACTATCAGAACACCTGCAAGCCGAATGGATTTAACAATGGTGTGCACTGCCAACAGAATACCGTAACATCACCCGTCGGGAAGACGCTTCGGGATGAGCACAAACCAGGCATGAGAGGTAGGAGATGTTTTATTGCACGCACACCTTTGCAAAATGTTGCATTTTTGGCTAGGAGTCCGCACCTTTTTTTCCGCTATAAACCGGACACGCTATCCCGACGAGCGCGTTCGGAAGAAAGTGGCTGAGAGAGAGAGAGAGAGAGCGCGCGGATACGCAGCGCCGTCGACGATTTTTCGAGTATACATACAGTGAGAAGTTGCGATTTCGAGAGCCTCTTGACCTTTATCTCGTCGTCTAATGCTAGGGAAGGCTAGTAGCTGAAAACTCCGTGTTCTTTATAGTTCAAAGCGGCGGGCGCCAGGTGGTGCTATGGAGCAGCTCCCTGGGATCTCTACGGGAGGTGATAGGTACGACCACGCGGCTGTTGTTCATCTCTTGAAAGTTCGATGAAGCATGCACTTTTTGTTTTGAGGTGTGTGTCATATGCTGCCAGGGTCCGCTTCGAGTACAAGGTACCTAGACTAGCTCATCGAATCATCAGAGAATCAATTTGAAGCATCGCTAAAAGAGAAGACGACGGCCACGTTTTTTCAAGCCTCATCTCTTACACAAAGAGAAGCTGAGACAAAACCCATTTATCACCCCGATGGGGCAACCTCGCTTTTCTTTCTCCCACTTCGCTTAGATCGCCGTGAAATTGTTGCAAAAACGACGGTGCCCCTTATTCTTCTTCTACTTCTTCATCGTCATTACACTTTTTTTGATCTGAAATCGGGTGATGTCACAATGCGGAACTAGAACCATGGAACCCCTTTTGACCTGCTCTCCTCCGAAGCTTGTGACGCTAAGTACTTTGCAGTTTTCCACCACAAAACGCCTAGAAACCCATCAACCCGTCACATAAAAAATTTGCATAAACCTCCCATACTGTCCTTCTCCTTAAGTTCCGGTCGTGAACTACTCTCCGATATTTTTAAAGGGAGGAAAAGGAAGAGAGTGTTCGAATTTATTTTCCCAGACATATTTCCTTTTTTCTGCCACAGAGGCAAAAAAATGTTTTGTTATGGGAAAGTCCCCTCCACTCCTGAAGGTCTCTCTCTGCACTTTCACCTTTCAGGGTCGAACAAGATCTATGGGAATGGATGGGGTGGGAGCCAATTCTGCACTTTGGTATCATCTACGTATTACTGTAGTCGGGTACCAGTAGATAGGGAAAAAAGGAGAAGAAAAAGTGACCGATTAGATAGATTTCCGTAAGATTAGGTAAAAAAATAAAAAAGGAGGGGAGGACAAAAAACTTGTTTTCTCTCCTTGTTCATCGAAAAAAGGAAGAAGGGTTGAAAATTTTTTTGGAGAAGGTGGCAATTTTGACACGCTGCCTGGGGGAGGAAAAGACACCCGATAAAGGAGAGAAAGGGAATCTTGAACGGTGGAAAATTGGGAATAGAAGAAGAAGAGGAAAAGGAAGGAACAGAACAAACAACATATTCTTGATTTAGAAGACGTTGGGGGATTCCTTGTCCCCGTTTCCGTTGTTTCCGGGGTCCATGACCAATCAGAAATGATAAAGTTCAGGTTGGAAGCCCTGGGGGTTGGAAGCCCAGGGATTTGGAAACCCAATAAACTTTTCAAATCTGAAATCAGAGGATTCCAAATTCCACCAGGAACATTTTCAAAATTTCTAGCGTCCACATCTACCCGTTACCGTAGTCGTTGCCCTTGCCAACATGTCTTCTAACAAACATCCGATCACATACTTCTTCTCCCATCACCCATCTCCTTATTTCCTAAAAGTACATCTCATCGAAACAAAACTAGTCCTTCCCTTCGTCTTCTACCCAATTCCGCGACACTAATGGCTCTTTGTTCTACCGTATTCTCATCGTCGTTCTCCCCGTTCCATCCATCCCTCCCCATCTCATTTATCTTGAAGACCACCACTCCGTCCTTCTTTTTCCTCTTCTCCCCAAGTCACTTTAATGATCATGTTTACGAAATGGCGCGCGCCAGCCACCCTGACAGCAACGACCACCATGTTAGGTAACTGATCTGGAATCGAGATACGGCTCCAGAGACAAAGGCAATTATGACACCACTGGGGACTAGGAAAAACAATGATCGTTTTATTTTGAAACTTATCTATTTTCAGATCTTGGATACTGGCTGAAAAAATTGCGACTCCACAAGTATGCTCCACTGTTCCAAGACATGACCTACCGACAACTTCTCAATTTGAACAATGCCGTGTTGGAGAAGATGAGAGTGACGAATGGAGCACGCAAGAAGATTGCTCAATCAATCGAGAAGCTTCACGAACGACCGGGTCTTCTGAAATCGATTGAGCAGAAGTTGAAGAATGGAAATCAATGTATAAGATGTGCAATTTGCTCTATCCGTCAACTTCTTTGGAGTCCATTCATCAAGTACGATGGTGGCAACCGTAAGACTTCTCCTGAAATCATCGATGGATTCAATGTGCCGAGCCAAATGATCTCTGACGAGAATCTCCCTGCACTAATCTTCCGTTGCGTTGAGATCCTCCACAATTTGGTTTTCCCACTCCGCCAAGGAGGTCTTGACTTGGAAGATGAATACCAGCTGACAATGTTCCACATGTACGAGAGTGTCATGAAAAACGAGGCTTTCACCCAGAACCAACAACGACGTGCATTCTGTATGAAGAAAACCGCAAGACTCTACGCGAATCCTGAGGAAATCCGTCGTCATAGAATGGGAATGGTTTCGAGTTCCCAATGTGAAGGATGCCACCACGCTGAAGTCGTCACTCGCGAGAGACTTATGGAGTTCCAAGATCGTCAATTCAGACAAGCCCGTGGTGACTTCGTCGGCCTTCCGACCCTCTCTTCCTGCACTGCTGTTCTGGATATGGTATCTCAGAATCCACTGAATCGGAATGAGTTCAACATCCCACCCGCGTCAACAGCCCAACGAGTTCAAAAGAGAGTAGCTTTGATGGAAATCGATGAGTGGGTGGATCCAAACGAGACACCAAAAGCTGCAGAGGCTGATGTCACTTTACCATCCGAGGCGATGGATCAGCTGGTTCTCCCAACCCAAATGAAGTCGTCACACTTCTGGTCAAATGTCAACGACATCTGGGGACAAGCCGGAAACAAACCATCCACCTCATTCCGCCTCCCAATGTACCCATCAGAAATGGAGACGTCAGAGAATGTTGAGAGTGTTTCTGGAAACGATGCGGAGACCTTTGATTTTTTAAACATTGTTCCTGATGAGGAGGTGAGTTGTTAGAGAGTGAAAAGCTCCAGATTTTCAATTTAATTATTTTTCAGACCCCAAAAGCCTCTTCTCTCAGCGAATTCAACTTCCCAGAATCTCTTGCCTCATCCAAGAAGGCCAATTCCACTGGAAGTGGCTATTCTTCCTCGGATAGCGACACTTCAATAATCGGCACTGAAGAAGTGACGACGACGCCAAAGACTTTTGGTCTCAACCAAATACTTTGCCCTTCCCTTGATTTGCATCTCCTGTAACCTGAAAACTATATATACACTTACTACTATCATTAGGTTTAGCCATGTTTGTCACATGATTATCATCTTTCGCCTTTCCCCTTTTTGGTTTTCTAGAAGTTTCTGAGCTCACAATTGCGCTCTATTGTACCCAATTGTCTTCCAAAGAATCTTCTGGATAACCATAACGTAAGTAAAAACAAAACCACACATCTTCTCAATGTTGTACCCCTCTCAAAAAATCGGTGAAAAACTCTTCATTTGTAGGCTTTTCTTTTTCCCCCTTTATTTAGTTCCGCTCCCATGACCCCCAAACATTATTCAACCGCCTTTTAGTTGCATAGATCCCATGTACCATTACTGTATTCACACCCCTTTCCACATATATACCTCCTTACCGCGTTCAAAATACCTCTACCCTCAACTACTCTCAAATCTTTTCCACTCTGTTCGTTTTAGAACAGCATCTTTTTTTTTTCAAATTTCCCGCTGCTTCATGTCTAAAAATACATCCCACCTAGATCTTTCCATGATAGTATTAAACGTTGTGGAGCCTCCCATCCCAATTTGTCTTCTCACCGATTGTCCACCATGTTTCTGAATATTCTGACACTACCTACTTTTTTTTGTTTCCATCAAAAATCCCGATAAGCTTTCTGTTCCCCCCAATATGTTCACTTGTTCACACACACACCACACACCTGGAAAAATCCCGCTGCACCATAGTTGCCTTTTGTCCATTTCATTGCTAACTTTCTCTGAAAAAAAAACGAAAACTCAAAATCATAGAATATCCGAATTAGTAATCGTCTTGCCACCTCATCTCATTCAATTTCTTCCCAACTCCCCCCACGTTTTTGTACTACTACTACAGTAACCATCCCGCCCATGCGCGTAGTGCCTGGTGTTCTTATCCAGGCCAATTTGCTCAATTTGGTTCCTTTTAATTTCTTCACTTTTTTCTCTATTTTTTGTGGAGTCTCCCGGGACAACCTTTTTTCAGGTCTCGGGGTCCATGACATTTTAATACCCACCCTCATGTGCTTTTCTAAAAATTCCCATGGATATACATATACCACTCAAGTGCCTTTTTTTTTCTGCCCTTTTTGTTCCTTGAATTATTTTTTTTCTTCATTTCAGATTTTCAGTAAACACAATAAATCGTGAGAACGTTGTTAAATCAGTTTTTTTGAAGAGAATTCCGGATTGAAAGTGCAAAAGTATTCATGAATAAAACATGGAATTTTTGGGAAACAAGTAGACCAGACAGGGTTCCGATGACAAGGAAAAATCGGATTAAGTTTACAAAATACATTTTTTCATAGATAGGAACATGTTGTACTTCTAGTTGATAAAACAAGGGAAGAATCAATGCACAAAAATAGCTATTTTCAGAGCTCCATGTCTTCCATGTCTGTCGGTCGGGCCCATACTCCGAAGGTACGTTAAAAGAGGGTACATTAAAGGTACATCATGCTTAGAGAGTACATAGTTTGAAGGAGTACGTCTAAGATGTTGTCTCACTATCAGGGAGTACATCTAGGCCAATCTCAGCCTAGATGTACCAATTTCTTATCTGATATACTACCTAGATGTACCTTCTCAGACTATGAACCCTTTGAGTCAATGTGCCCCTTGAACATGTACCCTATTTCTATGTATTCTCGGAGTATGGGCCCTGTCGGTCGAGAATTGGCCGATCGGTCAGAGCGCCTGGGACGCACTACGATTCTGAAAGAAATATATCGTAACATGAAATACTGTGTACGCAGGCACTCTCTGGCATATTGACGGGCAAATGTACAAATTCGAACGGCGCGCCGAGCGATCGGTCTGCTCGGTCTGCTGTTAGTCGGCTAGGTCAGCGGTCGATCGGCTAAATTTCACGACCAAATGAGAGCCTTAGACTCACTGTGTTCACAAGAAGCTTTCCGGAAGTTTCCGATATCAATTAATCCGTGTTTCAGTCTCTCAATATTAAAAATCAAACATTTCTCAAAAGACCCACTTCATTTTATGAAACTTTTATCTGAAAATATCCTTTAATCTTTTTATGACAGGTGAAAAAAAAACTGTCTCAACAGCTGAAAATTGTTCAGAAGTTGTTCAGAATTGTTCAGAATTGTTCAGAAACTTTCTCTCAAGATGTAAGATTTAGTCAGCTTCACACAATTTCTTTTTCCATTTGTCTTCAACAAGTCGGTTTACGCCCCCTGTCCTCCTGGCTTCCGCTCAACCTCCTGGCTTTCGCTTTCTGTATCTTACAATTGCATTTCTAATTTAAAAATTTTCGAGTTTCCGAATTCACCAAAATTTTTGAAAATTTTGCATACTATCAATTTTCTTCGCGGAATGTTTGATTTCCCAAATTTTCAAAATTTCCAAACGACTGAAAAAAGATTTTTTATGTTCTGAAATCCGAAGTATGTGAACTCCCAGTTTCCTGAACTGTCAAATTTTGGATAACTAAATGTCAGGTTTACTAAACTTTCTGGTCTCCGAAAATTCTGAATTTCGAAATTTTCGAATTTTGAAAAACAGTCGGTTTGCGCCCCTCCGGGCTGAGCCCCTGGCTCCCGCTTACAGTACCCGTTGTCTTATAGACAGGTTTTGTCCTTTTTCCAGGGACTATTTTTTCATGGTCTGTTAGGAAATTTCGAAATTCGATATTTTGGTTATTCAGAATTCCTAGAATTCGGAAAGTCGGAAGTAAGAAAATCCGGAAATTGAAAAAGTAAAAAAAGAAAATCAGATGTAGGAAAACATTAATTTTGAAATCTAGAAAACTGTTTCAATCTGTATGTCTCAAATACCCAAATTTTGGTATATCAGATTTTAAGGAATCGGAAAATTCAGAATTTTGCATACTTACTAAATGCCGGGCTGGCCTGAAACGGCCCTGTTTGCAAAATTTATAGAATTTCGAAAGAATTTCGTTTAGAATCGAGAATTTGAGAACCTGAAAAATTAGAAATTCAGAAATTCAACTTTTCGAAACACAGTCTCGTCGAAAAGTTTTTGGAACTTCGGAAAATCGGAAATATAGATTTCAGAATTCGAAAACTCTAAATTTCGAAAATTTAGACATTCCGAAAATTGAAAACCGGAAATGTTGGAAAATCTGAAACTTTGAAATTTTTTGGCATATTCGGTGAATAAGATCTCAGTAATTTATATATTCCGAAATTTGAAAGATATGAAATTAAATTCGGAAATTTTAAAAATTATTCTGAATTCTGAAAAATCGAGTGATCAGAAAGGGCGCTGTTATTTTCCCTCCCATTCTGTTTCTTTCTTTTTTTTCCTTTTTTTTTCTTTCTTTTCCACTGTTTCAGAATTTTTTCTTCCTTTCAAATCTTCAAAAGCCACACTAAAAGAATATTTCCAGAAAATCACCTTTCTCTCAGAAATAGCGTGGATAAGAAAAACATTTGGGCGGTTAGACGGAAATGACGTTAATATTTCTTCAATATTTTTCTAAAAATTTGCGCTGTAGAAATAGAAGAACGTCTCCAGAAGACGTCAGACACAACATTTCGAAAGATTAAATTTTCGGGCATCATCTCGCTGCTATTTCGGGTAATCTGTGAATATTTGGGAAAATTTGGTTCATTCTGGACATCGTTAGGGAAGGTGATACGGGAACAAACGGACACACACACACTCACATACAGAATTTGGTGATTGTTAATAGTAAAGATGGAAGAATATCGCAAAGGATATTATGCTGAAAACTGTCATCCTGAAAAGTTCACATGGTTCGATGGTTGGGAATACCCAGCTTATGTTTCTCATAGTATTTCTCTGGTTTTGATTCCTCTGAATATTTTCGGAGGATACTGTATTCTGTTTCAAATTCCGAAGAAAATGGAGGCATCCAAATGGGTGATGATAAATGTTCATTTTTGGAGTAGCTTTTTGGATTTGCTTGTCAGTTTTCTACTGACCCCATATATTTTCTTCCCGGCTATGTGTGGAATTACAAATGGATTGCTCAGTTGGCTACACGTTCCAATAATAGTGCAAGTTTTTCTAGCACAATGTGGGTTGGCAGGCAATGGGTCTAATGACAGTATTCGCTATCAGGGAAGTGCATTTTAGGAGTCGGGGTGTCTTTGGTAATAATTTTCGAGAGCCGACATAATGTCGATCGCTTTGTTATCACAAGAAAATCTTCTAGAATTTTGTTTTATGCTCTGAATTGTGTATATGGCATTTTTTTCATGACACCCACTTATTTTTCGCTCCCGGACCAAGAAAAGGCAAAACTAGAGCTACTAAAGGTACAAAAAGCTAATCTTATCAATCGATCACATGCTTTTGCTACAGATCGTCCCTTGTCCAACACCAGTCTACTTCGAACCCAATGTTTTCGTTCTGATGGACCATCAGGGCCGATGGTTCATTCAACTTCAGTGCACCACATTTTTCTGTGTTTTGATTGCTCAAGGTGCTTTTTCCGTATCCAGAACTGTCTATTTTTTGACTGCTTACAACTCGAAAATGTCCGAAATGCATTCAAGTGGCGATTCCAGTGTTCATTGTGATTCTTCCAATACTTTATTGTGGATGTGCAATCGAGTGGTATTGGTATTATCAGTGTAAGAGGCTGAATATTCTCACCTACATACCGTAAACCCTGTAATAGAAGGGCTCCCCTACTACCACGTTTGAACTAAACTATCTCGAATCCTACGCAAAGTATCAAAAATGTGTCAACCGATAAAATACTTGTGATGTTATGATAAACATTTTATCAGTTGGCAACTTTTTGATATCTTTCACAGGAATCGAGATAAATTGGCTCAAAGTTAAGGGGCTCTGCTATTACAGGTTTTTCGGTAAAACTGAAAAAAAACATTTTCCAGCATTCAGCAACACTGCTATCATTTGTGTTTCTTTCCATGGAATGAGCTCAACCATCGCGATTTTTGTCAATTTATGAGCCATACAGGACTTATACAAAATCTTGCATCGCCAAGATTTTGACAGAAAAGTTCTAGTCCAACAACACCAAAAAATGTGTCAGTGACGCCGAAAACATTTAACAGAAGAACTACATCTTTTAACATTCAAGTTTAGTTTTTGTTGAAATAAAATTATTCATGTTTGTATAAACAAAAAAGTAAACAAATTTAAAAAAACAGCTGAAAAATAATCTAGAATCAAACATCCCATGAATCTTTCAATGCATCAAAATACTCTTCTTGTGATTGTCTCATAGAAATTACTTTGCCTTCTAAAGTCTTTATGGGTTTTGCAGATTCTATATCCGGTGTTACTCGGACGTGTTTCGTCGACAAAATTTGCTTCCTCAAACTCTCATTTCTGTATACCAAAACCCATGGAAATATGCATACATAAGCATTGAGTATCTGAAAAATTTCTGGGTCTTTTCTTCGTAACACATTAAATCCACTCACATTGTTATACAAAAAATTGGCAATACCGTACTCCCATTCAGTTAGGCCTAGAAGAAGCCAAGTCCAAATCGGAATCATTGACAACACTTTGAAAATCGATGCACCAACGACTGCAGGAAGTAGGGTATTTGTCCAGGAGTACACTTCGGACATCTGAAAAAAAACCTTTAAAAAATACAAAAAAGTCAAGCCACCTAGGGGACTCGAACCCCTGACCTTAAGATTAAAAGTCTCACGCTCTACCAACTGAGCTAAGGAGGCTCCGGAGTGGAGAAGGGTGAATGTCCTTCAAAAAAGAGAGATAGAGACGTGAAGAGAAAAAAAGAAACGGGGACAACTGTTTTGCTGTGTTGTGATGAAATAGGAACTTTTTGTTTTCCTTTCGAAAGAGAAGGAGAGTACCGAGAAACGATTTTCAAGAGAACAGAGTTAGAATTCCAGTTAATTTTAGAGCCCAGATTTGATTAAAAATTCCTCTGTACCTGATACCTTCTTCCCAGACTGGCCTTCCCGGCTGACAACATGTAATTTGACCTGCTACTCCTCCAAGCCGAAATTAAAATCTGAAAATGACATCATAAGCTACAGTGATCCCTAAAAAAAAACTTACAAAAAGGCCCAAATAATCAGAGCACTCCATGAGCAATGTGGCTAAAATCAGCTGTCCGTCTGCAAATGATAATTATCCATGACGCCGTCTAAAAGAGGTCAAACTTACAGACATGGACAGCAAAACTGAAACAAAATGATAGAAAAACTGCAAGCACTATTGAGCTGCATATAAGATGTAGGAAAATGGAACTTGAGTAGAATATTGGGAATTTGTTGGCTGCGAATCTTTCTGGAAAGTTTGAATTAGAAGGCGTCAACTTTGAGCAATATATATCTCATTTTCTGTGAAAGATATCAAAATAAGGTCAACTGATAAAATATTTTTCACAAAATCACACATATTTTGTTAGTTGAACATATTTTGATATCTTTCACAGGAACCGAGATACTTAGGCTCAAAGTTTACGGTTTGGGAGCCCTTCTATTACAGGTCTCACGGTATTTGATTTTTCCAATAAAAAAACCAACCCATCGAGAAAAGAAGCATAGACAGCGATTGTAGACATACACCAAATTCGTGTATGAATTCCCATGTCTTGCTTCTGACACTAGCAGATTCCTCAGTAAGAGAATAATACTTTCCAGAATTCAAATATTCGAATATTGAAAAGCCATAGGATGCGAAAAGATTCATGGAGAACCCAACCATGACAAGACAGACTCTGGAATTACTTGGGTCTGAACATTTGGGATCCTCGACAGTGTGAGCTTACCGACAATACGAGTGCAAAGTTTTGGTGTTAGCTATGAGGTACATGAAGAATAGAGAGCATAAAAAAGAATGAACTACCAGAATCGACTCGAAGATTGTCATGATAAACCAACCGACCTTCATTTCTGAAGCCATCTGAAAATTCTGAAAAACAGAATGTTGATGAATATCAAAACATGACAAAGACAGAAAAAGAACAAGGAAGAATAAGAAGAAGAAGAGAATAATTTGTCTGAGAACTCGAGGTGTGGAGGTGTAACTGGCTAAAATTATTTTGTGTTGGTGTTGAGAGAAAAAAACAAAGACAAAAAAAGTTGATTGAAATATTTCGGGGGCTTTTGAATGCTTACTAAAGTTTTACGAAAACCCCGAGATTCTAAGAAATTTTTTGTAAACAGAATGTCAGAGGATATAGCGAAAAAATATGAAAAATGTGTAAAAGGATAAATAATTTATTTTAAAAAAATTCTAGTCTTGTCTAACACAACCTTCAAATAATTAACTATATACCTAGTACACCTGTCTGATCTTTTCATAATTGCACACTAAAACAGAAAGAGGAAGCTGAAGTTATAAATGTTGCAAGCATTCAACATCTTTCAAAATTTTGAAACTTCAAATATCATGTTTTTTTAAAATCCAGATGTCCCAAACGGCACATCACTTGCTGCATCATATGAAACAAAAATAACATAAAACATTTTATGAGTCAAAAAAAAAAGATTCAATGAGCAGAAAGTCAAAGGCAAGAACAAGATTTTAGTAACATTTCAGTGCACTTTCGAATAATCACGAAATGCATTATTTCCAGTGAGTTCTCAAAAAATCAAAGTGTTCTTTGTGAGACATTCGGAAGTTCATGGATTTTCCATCAAGAGTTTTGATATGCATCTGGAGGGGGTTCACACGGGTGCGCTTTTTTGACTTCTGAAAAATAGAGCAATTATTTATTTATTTGAACTGATGAAAGAAAAAAAAAGATTTCTCCTCGGCCGGGAATTGAACCCGGGTCTCGCATGTGACAGACGCGGATACTCACCACTATATATAGTAGTATACTACCGAGGACACGAGAAACTGAGATGTTTGAGTTTTAGACAAGAGTGTATTACATTTTAGAGCGAGAGACGGAGAGAGGGCACTTTGGGGGTTAGTCAACAGAAACCATTGTCCGCAAAATGTTGCGAAAAAGACCCACCGATTTATTCAGTCTCCTATGATTGGCGCTGACCAAAAATGGTATTCCACAAGTGAAAAGATCCATTACACTTTGAAAAAAGTGACTGACACTAATTTGATATGCCATATTATCCTCCACAATTTGAAGCACCCAAATCACAATGACGTAGATGAACTTCAGAAGGAACGCCAAACAAGCAGCAGGAATCAGCGCTTGGGTCCAGATGTAGACGTCAGAGATCTGAAATCTCTGCTCCAGAGTCGCTTTCCCGGCTGTGTTCCTATATTGTTTGAATGAAATCTTTGAGGAAAGTACAAGAATCTGAAAGTTCTGGTAATTAGACGCAAAGCACAAAATGGTGATGCTCACCACCAACGCAAACATATCAACAATGGTCAAACAGGTGATCAGCGTGATGTGAAAGTTTACTGAAACATTATGACGTCATATTCGAGATTGGAAGAGCTGCTTACCGAGATGAATAGCTTGAGCATAGATCATTGAAAGGATAGAAATGATGATTGCGATTATAATAGAAAAGGTTCGGTTCCGCAAGTTTTGGGCAATCGGGATTTTCGCGGTGATGTAGCGTTCTGAAAGTCGAAATACTGTTAACCTATAACATTTTAACTTTGATCCAATTTATCTCGGTTCCTGTCCAAGATATGCAAAAGTTTTCAACTGATGAATTGTTTATGATAATATCACAAAAATGTTACTAATTGACACATTTTTGATATCTCGTGTGGAAGCCAAGATAAATTACCGTGAACACTCTAATAGAATGCCACCCGAACTGTCAACTTTGAGCCAATTTATCTCGGCTCCTGTGAGAGATACGAAATAGTTATCAACTGATAAAATGTGTTTATCATAATATCATAAATGTTTTGTCAGTCAACCATTTTTTGATATCTTTTACAGAAACCGAGATAAATTAGCTCAAAATTGACGGTTTGGGTGGCCTCGTTAGAGTGTTTACAGTATAATTCCATTGGAAACGGCTTCATTTTGAATATCCACAAATGGGTTTCAACTTTTTTCAATTAGTTTTCAACTTTTTTCACTCTTTTGGTAGCTTCAATAAAACTAGAGCTTCACTTTTGTAGCAGACAATTTTTTTACCAAAATTAGATCCTGAGAAGATATGCCGCGTGGACGAGCCCTCCCTCATGCAAACGAGCGCTCTTCTATTACAGGTTTTAAGGTGACTTACCCACTGAAAAAGCAAAAAGTGAGAGTGTATGCAATGCAAATGCAAACTCATGAATTAAACTCCAAACGAACATCCTTATGGAATCCTTGTAGCTGGTCGAATCCTCTGGACGGATTCCAATCAAAAATTCAAAAGTTTGAAACCCATGCGTCAGGGCTAGAAAAAACAGAGAAACCGTAAAAAGCAACAGGAAAGGGCTGGAACTTTCAAAATCTTTATTTATAAACTTAAAATTGTATTATACCGGCTAGTGGCTTGTAAAAAGGTGGCATTGGCAATTAAATACAGAAAGTACAGGCTTGAGCAAAGTGCGAAAATGATAATAAGAGCTTCTAAAAAACCGACTAGATAGAACAGCTCCATTTTGTGGTCAAAATGAAAATAACAAATGAAATATTGAAATGTACAATGATACTTTGTATATTTGTCTCTTATCCAAAATATCCATTCAACCGTATGAAAATCATAGGACAGAGATGTCGTAAGCCCGCGTCATTTCCAATTCTGTTTCAGATGCTCAAAATAGTCATGTTTACTTGGAATCACTTTTCCGTCGATGGTCCTTCTTGTTTCTCCTTGGTTCTGGGTGTGCGTTAGCTGTAAAAAGGTCATCACATATACCGTAAATCTAAAATAGGAGGGCAAGTTTGAGCTCAATATCTCAATTTCTACGCAAGCTATCAAAAGTGTGTCAATTTTTAAAGATTGGTGATAACATGGTAAACAATTTATCAGTTGACAGCTTATTCATATCTCTAACAGGAACCGAGATAAATTGGTTCAACGATTACGGTATCAAAATGATTCCAAAAGCCTTACTCTTTCTCGAATCTTCTGATGCTTGAAAAGTATCACAAATGGCAAGACCAGTGTGTAGACATTCAGAACATTGTTGTATAAAATGACCCATAACGCTGCATCGTTTCCGGTATAGTTCCCAGTAATCAGAATCCAAATGAGTACTATAACGATGATTTTCGACATGCTTGCTAACAAAACGGCGGGGATTAAATGACGGGTCCATGTGTAGACTTCAGATAGTTGAAATCTTTGTTCAAGGTTGAAAATGCCGACGGTGTTACGGTAGCGGAGAAGGGACCGCTTCCAGGCAACGAGGAGGATCTAGGAAATGAGGCATGGGAAAGTTTTGAAGTCAGAATCAAAAGAATATAAACTTTTGAGAACTTCATCAGCCTATCAAGTTCCTGGTTCTCAGACAGAATAAAGATCAAACATAATTTAAAGTTTGTAGGCGGAAGTATAGGAGCTGGCATGTTCTTTGTAACTAATAGTAATTCGCGCCGCCCGAATTCGTGCATTTGCGCGTCTACATGCCAGTTAGCGTTTACGTACAAAGCATTTAATTTTACGGCACATTATCCAATGAGTGCGCGGGGTACGCAAACACTCAGGCAAGTTGACGCGCAAATGCAAAAGCTGGCGGTCGCCGATTTTACCCCGACCGAAATGGAACCCTAAAAAGAACGAAGTGAATTATATACTTACAAGCTTCTAGAATTGATAAATCTCTGTTATTTTTCTAGCAATCGAAAACAATAAAAATTAGAGTAAAGATAACTCACCAAGCATCCCAAAACATCCACGACATCCATTGAAACCGTCGTCAAAAACATCTCGCCGCCCATATGAATGAATAATGAGAAAGCTGTTGATATCCCTAGTGATATCAGGGTTAGAATCAAGAAGAGTATTTTAATCTCAAGTTTACTATAACTTGCTGGACAAATGCACGCCACAAGACGCTCTGAAAGAAAATTTTAAAATTTCTACCGTAACCCTTCCAATTTCTATTCGAGACCCAAAATTTCTACATTTTCAGACCCAGCTCAGAAAGCCGGTTCGAATGAGTATAATCATGCCCTACTTTAAAATGTAAAAGTTTTTCAAAATTTCCCGGTCCATGCGCCTTTAAAACCAAATTTTCAAAATTAACCAAAAAAGCGAATGTTGGGCTCATTTTGACAAGCGCAACATGGTGAAAACGAAAATTTAAGTTTGAGAGCCCCAGGAGCAACTTTTTCGGATTACGGTAGGTTATATTTTACAGGACCCGAGATATGCGGGCTTAAAGTTGACAGGGGGGGGGGGTGGCATTCTACTAGATTGCTCAAAAATCAAATTGAAAATTTGACCTACCGATTGAAAATAACAACAACGAGAACGATTGAAATGCATAACCAATCTCGTGTACTATTCTCCAAGCTATCCCTCTTGGAGACACAAAATATACATATTCGTATGTTTTGCCTTCATACAAAAACTCAAAAACTGTTAACCCATGAGATACCGTCAAGAGGTACATAGAGAATGCGAATGAGAACAAGAGATTTCTGAAAAATTTTTGATACAGTAAAACCTGTAATATATGGTTCGCCTAACTATGAACTTTAAGCCAATTCATTTCGATTCCTGCTAAAGCTATGAAGAAGTGGTTAACGGATAAATTCTTTATCACAGTATCACAAACATTTTTAAAAGTTGACACAATTTAAATATCTCTTGTAGGAGTCGAGATAATTGACAAACTTGGCAGTGCGGGGGCCCTTCTGTTACAGGTTTTACTGTATTCAACTGCTCATCGCCTCATACCTGCAATTAAAATGAAGACTAGAAGCCTGATGTATCATGAAAGTGAATAGGGTATTCGATAGTAGTGCCAGTAGAACTATGACAATCTCGATGTACGCGAACATGATAAGAATGATCATCTGAAACGTGATAAATGAGAAGAAGAAGATCTTGAAAAACCTGGTCGAAGCAAAAAATAAGGCAAGAAGAGAAAGAAAAAATGAAAAGATTATAGAGTGGCTACGAAGCTGGTGGAGCGAAAATATTACGAATCAGATGAGGTGTAAGACAGTCATGGGTAAATGAACAAAAAATAATAATTTAAAAAATTTAAAGCAGAGGAGTTGCATGAGAAATGTTGAACTGAAAATGCACCGAAAAGAAAATTGGTTTATTTCTAGATTTTAGATGTCTGTGAGAAGTTTCTGTGAGAAAATGCGTGAATGTATGCGTCGTGGGATTTTCGGATCATTGAAATAATAATTGAATAATTTCAGATTCAGATAGGATTTCTTGGAAACTAGAATTTTCAGACTCGCGGACTCCCAATCAAAAATTAGCGAAATCGGTTACCGTAAAACCTGTAATAAGAGCCGCCCCCCCCCCCATAGTGCCAAGTTTAAGTTCAATGATCGCAATTCCTACAAAATATATAACAAATTTGTCAACTGATAAAAAGTTTCTGATATTGTGTGATAAACGTTTATTAGTTAACAACTTTTTGATAATTTTGACAGGAACTGGGTTAAACTGCTTCAAAGCTTAAGCTCTTCTATTACAGGCTTTATAGTAGGTGAACATTTCGTTTTAGCGAGCATAAGGCTGTAAATTGCAAAGATGTACTTTAATCTACATTTTCACCTCAATACATTTTCAAGACTTTTGGGTTTCTTTGAAACTTGAAAAACGCCTAAAAATAAGCAGAAAAGGTAATCCATGTGTGACCGAAAAATGTTGCGCTCGCCAGAATTTTTTGGTCTTTCCAAATCTAATTTTGAAAGAAATTTTAGGTAAACATTTATGAATATGGAACTCTGCTCTACTTTGCTAACTTGTTAAAAAAAAAACGATGACAAATTTCAACAAGCTGGCCAGAAACAGTCCACAAGGCTGTGAAACCTGTAATAGAAGGGCGCCTTAACTTTGAGCCAATTTATTTCAGCTCCTGTCAAAGGTATAAAAACGTTTTCAACTGATAAATTGTTTATAATGTCATACACATTTTATCAGTTCATACTTTTTTGATATCTTGCGTAGGAGCTAAGATAAATTGGTTCAAACTTGAAAGTGTGGGAGCTCTTCTTTTACAGGTTTTCAGTAGTTTTAGTTTATCGAGGTTTCCAAATATCTGGACGGTTCTAGTCACAAGAGTACTTCTTTGGAAGTGAGATCAGAGGCCAGTAATATCTATAAGTAGTGAAAGATTTTTAAATAAGTTGGTGAAAATCTATTGAAAGAATTCCAGTTGTTTTGATTCCAAGAACTCTAGAAATACAAAACGGGTCATTATGAAGACATGAAAAATGACAATTCTGGTGGTATTCTTGGAAAATGTTTTTTGAAAGTTATAATAATGAAGCCCTTGATGCTGATCAAAAAATCGGGAAAGGAGCTTCCAAGAAGCATATGAGAAAATAACATGTTCATAGTTTGAACTTGTAATATGACTAGTATAAAAAATTGAACAGAAATGCTCAATGACTGGAACAGACTAACAAAAAAAATTTCATTACATGACAAATTTAGCAAATCTTGGGTGAAAAATGGAAAAATGACTTTTTCATGCAAACACGACTTTACCGGAACCACTCTAATACAAGACCATATCACGGTTCCTGTAAGAGGTATCAAAAAGTAATGCCCAGACAAAATACTTTTGATAATATGATAAAATTTTTATCAGTTGACTACTTTTTCATATCTCTTACAGGAACCGAGATATATAGGCTCAAAGTTGGCGGTTTCGGTGCCCTTCTATTAGAATGTTAACGATATTTGTGTGAAAAATAATCTGAAAATCGATACATGAAAACTGAAAAAAAGAATGTGCTAGAACATTGTTACTGAAGTCTGTATCCCCATTTTTTTCTATCTAATTGGTTGTCTGAAAAAATATGTCATGTTATTGTCAAAAAATGTCTCGCGATTATCGAGCATGAAACATAAAGAAAAAGTTTGAAAATAAAGTTTTAAGACAACACAAAAATGGAAACTGAGCAATCACGAAAACAACAATAGGAGCCCAAAACGACATATACAGTCATTATCATCTCCACCAATTTCTTGATGTTATTGTCTACGGCATGGCAGAGATAGAGGAAATGAAAAAAACAACGCGTGGTGAAATTGTAGGTTTGAAGGATCTATGTTCTTTTTTTTTGAACTTGTTGGACGGTTTGTGGACTTGTTGAACATTGAAATGGAATACACATTCGTTTAGAACAGGAATAGGCAGGAAACACATTAAGTTGATTTTCAGGAACCTGGAGATCGGCTGTCAAGTGTCCCATCAATTTGAAAATTTTGGAAGTTGTCAAACAGACCTAGATTGAAAAATTTGCATAACAGAATTTTCTGGGGAATCCTAGTTTTCCATCTGTTTTACGATTTTGTCATTCAGAAATCGGGTAAAGAAGAATTTTCAAGAAATTTGATCAATACAAAGTCATAAGTTTTGACACAGCCACTCTATTTTCACAATTGACAAAAAATGATAATATGTGAACATTTATTCGCGGCTGCCGGTTCGTCATTTCTAATCGGATGTCAAAAAGGGTTCTGAGTTTGAACGGATATTGGTCGGGTTCTGGTCGGAAGTTGCCCAAAAACGGCTGTATAGAGGGCCATGGTCAGAATTTGGAAGGGAGTTCAAAGTTGGAATACTACCAGGTCGGAACCTTCTCAAAAAGTTTTAGAATTTGGTCGGTTTCAGTAGCGGCCTTATCCGGAATCTGACAAACCAGAAGATGCCAGCGACGCCCGAGATGTTCCCTTTTACTCTCAGCCATGTTCATCTGCCACTTTTAAGATCCACAAAAATATTTTTTTCATGATTTTGACCATTTTGAAAGATCTGGAGCTCGGCATTCCAGTGTTAGATTTGAAAACTTTGAAGAATGTAGAACAGACCTGGATAAGTGTTATCAAGAAAAGGTAAAATATTGTCTTCCATGGTGAAAAATTAAAAAATATGTACTTCTTCCAGTTCTTCGATTTCTCCCCATCGTTTAGGATCTTCCTGTCTGAGGAATTGCTACTTGCTCGGCTGTCGGCTTGCAACTTCTGGACGGAAGTTGAGGGGGGTTCGGCTTTTGGATGGATCTTGGTCAGATTTTGGTCAGAAGCTGACCTCTGGCAGCAGTGGGACGGACAATGGTCGAATTTTGGCCGGAGTTTTCCGGCCCGTGCTGTTAAGAGGTCGGAAGTTGGCTGGTAGTTTGTCGGATCTTGGTCGGCTTCCCACAGTGTCTTTGCCTGAATCTGACCAAGCTCCGGTCACAAGTGGCGACGCCTGAGTGGCTTCACCAGCTATTTTTGTTTGGTCCCGACCCAGGCCTATTCATACACGATAATACCATCAATTTGCAACAAACATAATTTTGAAAACATACGGATTACAGTTTACGACTCTCATAAAATTTTATGAGCACCAAAGAAACATGAACGTAAAATCATGTCCCCAACTTGATCAATCTGAAACTTCTGATTTTTTTCAAATTTACTAGGTTTGAGAATCTTTCTCAAAACGGACTGTTTTTATCAAAAACCGTAAAACCAAAACTAGGCGACTTTCTCTATTTTTAATCTTCAACCTCTAGTTCCAAGTAGTAATTTTTCCAAAAAAAAATGAAAGAATTTTTTAATTCAAAACTTTCCACCGTCAGAAATTTTTCAAATCTCCCTGTTTATATAAACCTTTAAAATCAGGGAATAGTCGCGCATAGCGGGTTCGACTCTCATCTGTGCGTTTTCGTTTTTTTCCTGATTTCATGCGGCGACATCATAGAATGCCGGGAATAATTGCCAAACAGTGAAGAAATCTAGTGTATTCTAAAACAACAAATGCTCGTCAAGTAGCGCGCATTGGGTCGCAATCGCACGATTTTCCGTCAGAATACATTGTTGTCGAATTAAACAAACTGACACCTGAAAAATTTCGCGGGCGCTTTCGTGTCGATTTACGAGGCATCGCCCCGAAAACGGATACTGTAGATAACAATTTTATTTGTGAGAATTTAGTTGGATTTTTTGACCAAAAAATTGATTTATTGGTAAAAATGATCCCTAGAATCTCTAGAATTTATTTTTCTTCAAAAAAACTAAACTTAAACGCGAAAACAGCTCGAACGAGCCGAAAGTCTGAAATATTAAGTTTTTGCCGCGCTTTTTCGTTGATCAAAAAAAGCAAAAGTTTTCAAATTCTCAGGTGTCACTTTTTTAATTCGACAATATCTCGCTCCAAAAAAACTCCGTATACTGTCTGACCTTCTTCAATCAAAGATTTGAACCAATTTTTCGAACCAATTATCGCCCACCAATTTGTCTATGTTCTATTTTGTCGTTCTTCCTAACAATTGTAAGAATATATGATTGAAAAACCAAATAATGGAACGGGCTAGGTGGTTTTTAGACCGTGACCTGATTTTATTGAAAAACAAAAATCTCCTCGAATGAAAAAATATAAACAGCTGCATTGAGAGGCAGGAAGTGCCGAGCTCTGGCGTTCCAGTTTGATGCTTTTCTGAAAATTTTGATATTTGGAAACCGTGTTTTTTTGTTTCAAGGAGTTCAAAGTATCATTCTGAACCTAAGGCGATGAAGTTTTGGATCAGAACTTTCTCTACATAGAATGGCTTTTGACTTTGAACCAATTTTTCTCGGTTCCTGTCAAAGATATAAACAAATTGTGAACTGAAAAAGTGTTTATCACAATATCAGAAACATCTTATAAGTTGACACATTTTTGATATCTCTCATGGGATTTGAGATGACTGAGTTCAAACTTGAAAGGCCTTCTATTACAAGTTTTATTGTATTTTCGCTCTTTTTGATTCTAAAAAGTTTCCCAACAGCTCCTATAGCTTATGTTGTTGATAAAACTCAATTTAAAAAATTTAAAGCCTTTCCAATAATAATCCTCTATCAAAAAATTCATACTTCCAAGAAGAATTTATCAGCAATAGTGATAAATTATTTGCACTTTTTGAACTTATCAAAAAATCATCTAATCTGCTAACGAGCTCAAAAATTTTAAAAAATGCTGATCTCTTGATCTCTTATTCCTTTGGATTCTTCAAAATTTGGTTTTGAAAGCCTCTACAAAACTTCTCTTGATTGCTCATTGTCTATTCCAACACTTTTTGTTGAATGGTTCAGATCTCTAGAGCATTTTATTAGATTAGGTTCAAGAACCACACCAATCAAATTTCAATGTTTTTTTTGAAAAAGGACATGCTTATTTTTATAAGAATTTTTTCTGGGGTCGTGTTATGATCTATTACATTTTTTCGGAACGTGTTACATGATTCTGACTTCTGTTATTCTTCACGGTTGCCTGACTTCCGAGAAGAAAAGAGAATCGTTGTGTTCTGGTTTATGTTATGAGAAAATTAAGAAAAAAATCAGCTTTGCTTTTTTTTTGGTTATCCGGAAAATATTATAATTGCGTGGGAGGCTGGTAGATGGTCATGTTTGGATCCGCTTCACTTCGAAACTGCGACAGTTCGAAACTGTGACACTTCGAAACCGGTAATTTCGAAACCGTGGTAATACAGTCTAATGGATCAATTTCAGACTACAAAAAAAATATTTTTAGTCTGAAATTCGTCCATTGGCCTGTATTACGACGGTTTCGAAATGACTGGTCTCGAAGTGTCGCAGTTTCGAAGTGACGCGGAGCCAGCTCGAAACCCCTTACACCTTTTGTTTTCAAATTTTTTGAATTTTTCCGCATATGGCAAGCCTTATCATTATCTCGAACACCTCATCATCCCTTTCTTGTTATTCAATTCTTTTTGGAACGAAGGTTTCGTAAAAACTTGGAAACAAAACAAAAGTTTTTTTTCACATTTATTTGACTTCGTGCGTTTTTGAGTAGAATTTTTTTCTAGTATATGTTTCGCATGCATGAGACATATGTCTAAAATTTAATTTATTACATTCACTACCAGCCACGTCAAAAGTAGACACCCCCGGAAGTCTTTGATCTATTTTTCTAGCAATTCCGCCCAATTTCCCCCAATTTTTTTCTAGCTAACTATAAGTTCATTTTTTTTTGCTGCTATAATTATGTCGCTATAATTATAGGTGGCAATGCTTTTAGGTAGAAAAATCGAGGGAAGCGTGAGGTCTGCTCTTCCGGCTCCAAGAGTTGGAGCCTTGATTTCATGAGAATCCCTAGAGAATGCTAATCAAACGACGTCTGTCTATTTTTGAATTTTTTGAAAAAAAAAGAATCGATGAGTTCAGAAGATTAGCAGCAAGTGGGGGCGGAGTTTAGTTGTTCCTTCGTTAGCAAGTTGAGATTCATTGTTCTTCCTTTTTTTTCTTCAAGATCTCCTCTTTCTTGTCTCCAAGACATTCTTTTTTCTAGCCTTTCCGCTTCCTGAATGGGATCCTACAACGAAACCTTCGTATGCAAACCTCCAGCACAATCTCCATGGTGGGCTCCAGTGGTCTTTCTTCAGTTCCTCATAGTTATTCTTGGATGTCTATCTCATGTGATATTTGTCAAACTCGCCGTGGTTCCAGGAAACTTTGGACGGTATATACGGTAAGTCTAAATGCCCCTTGTGAAGTTGAACTTGTGAGACCAGATGAGCTACGGTGGCGCAAACTGCGCAGTCCCCTTAAACTTAA